CAATGCTTTTAAGCAATAGCCTTCATACTTTTGTATATACCTGCTTAGTAGGGCTTTCGCCCCCCCCCCCCAAGCGGTGTTCTTATTTTATACAAAGTCAGTTTATTGCCCCCACAATCCGGGTCCTCATTTTACCTGGAAAATTTCATTTTACCTTGGAAGGCTGAGTCAACCTTGAGCCTGGTGAGAATTGAACTTGCAGTAATTGCAGGCAGCTGGCAACTAAGTGCTACTTTAACAGCACTTAGTCCACTGCGCCACCAGGCTCCTAGTCCAAAGGGATCTCCAAAGATCCCTTTGGACTGAGCGGGATTAGAGAATCTGGAGAGTGCGGTCCTTCAGGTCGATTTTAGAAGTAAGAGCTCAATGAGTAAGAGCCCCCTCCCCAATGGCTTCAAGCAAGCCAAGACTAAGGCAGGGTGTCGGTGAGGGAACTACAGTGATGAAGGGGGATCCGATCTTCGGGGCACCCCAAAGCTACGCCCTTAGCTCCGTTTCTTTGCAAGCGACCAAGCCTCCGGCGCCAAGTAGGGGCAATCCAAGATTCCTGGGATTTTCTCCAAAGGCCTTTGAGGAGATCTAGAGTAGCACACAGCTTTTCCCCTGACCCTGAGCCCCCTAACTTGAAGTGAACTTTCAACCGACAGCCCTGGGAGGGGGGGCAGAGAGACGAAATATGACCCAACGCGGCTCCCAATCGCCTCCTGTCCTGCAGAGCCTTTATCGGGATGGTCTGCCCACACTGGAGGGCAACTGAGGAAGTAACCGGCCCACCGACCTGCGGCGCTGCACTTCTGGCCAGTCCTTGGGAGTCCCCCAGCGGAGACGAAAAGCAGGGAGGCAACGGACTGACAAGCCAGGGAGCTTCTGCTGTTTTTGCTTGAACATAAATTGACATAAAGAGAAGTGTTGAAAAAATAAAGGCTTATTTGGGTGGAGCTGGCAAATCTGGCTGGTTTTCTTTGCCTTTTGTCTAGTGTGGTGCGCAGCCTTCCCCACTTTAGCCGGAACTCCCGGGATTGCTTAGTGGTCTCCTATCCAACTGCTAACTAAACCTGCCCCCGTTTAGCTTCCCAGCGCAGACAGTGCCAGCCAGGTGCTGCCACCTGCTGAGGCAATCAATAAGCGCTGTGCTTTTCATCGCGGCGGCGTCATTTAACCAATATTGTTAATCACAAAGCCGCCTTCTACACTCGAAAACTTTGGGGAAGCGAGGAAAGGCGCTTTTTTGGGGGAAAAAAAAATAAGACCGACCATTCTGGTTGCTGTTTGTGTTGCTGTCTCTCCCGCGAGAAACTACCCAAAAGCAGGACCGGACATCGGATCTCGAGTTTGCCTTTTTCTTCGTCTCTTGAAGTGGCACTTCGGCCATTCCCCGCACTGGTTTTCCCGCAGCTTCAAGGGAGGCATGTTGGAGAATTTGCAGGAAGCCCAGAAGAGCGGACAGGCTGCAAGAAGGGGACTTTTCAGGACTTTAATTTAAAAGAAAAAAGAAATAGCACGAGCTAAGCGGTCTCAGCAATTAACAGGCGAACGGGAGAACTAAGACGGCTGGAGGGAGCTGGACTTTAAATAACGGACAAGAGGAGGAAGCGTTGGTGGGGAGGGGCGTCCGAGGGCGTCTTCCCCTTCGGAGGGACACTGGAGTCTTGGTCGGACTGATCCGGAGCTGTCGGCAGCTCCGGCTTCATTAGGAGAGACCAGACACTATTTGATCTGTTATGACAGCAGCGCTCAATTAGATCGCGTTGCTGAACCACTCCAATAAGGGACTTAATGCTCAGAAGTTCCAGCGCCAGGTCACAGCCTTGACACATCAAATCAAAATCAGGGGGCGGGAGGAGGCCTTTCTCTCCGTCCAACCAGGAGGCTTGGGCGCGACGCCTTCCCTCCCTCCCTCCCTCCCTCCCTTTCCCTACTCAACCCCCCCCCAAAGTTTCCTAGTCCTGAAGATCCCAGGGTACCATCTTGTTTTGCTCACAAGAAGGGGCACTGGGAACGGCGCGATTTGGGCAAACAAGAATGAAAACAAGCGTACAGAAATGAAAGACGTTTGCATGTCTTAGAGGGAGAGGCAAAGAAACGGTGGTGTTCTTGTTTTGTTTTTCCTGAGAAGCTTAACCCTTTGAAATGAAATTATCAGCCATTAAAAGCAAGAGAGATCCCGGGCCAGGCCCCTTGCAAATTTAGAGAAGCTGGCACGCTTTCTTTCTCGGTTCATTCCAGCTGAGGGAAGCTATGAACGCAGCATCTCGGCTTTAAAGGCCTTCCTATGAAGTCCTGCAAAAATATGCCCATGCTAAATCCATACTTAAAATGCCACTGATGGGCACCACCGCCAAATTCCAGGTTTGCCAGAAAAAATGAGAATGCTGGCGCCCCCGGGGGGGCTTAACTCTTCCCCAGAAGGAGGACAAAATCAACTCTTCCAAAGTCCCCATTCCCCCCACCCCGAACAAAGTTTTCTTACGGATCTTCAAGGAAATGAAATTCAAATCCCCTCGCCCAAATCCTTTTGCGGTATATCGAGGCCTCCGGTGGACAAACTAATTTCATTGATTCTTCCTCAAAAAATTCCCGGATTACTGCCCTCGAATTTTGGAGTTGCATGGTAAGCATTATGGACACTGCGAGGTGGTGTAATATTAATGCTATGGGGAAGTAGTAGCAACGATTACTGGTTGACCCCATAAATGACACGGAGAAGCAAGCGGTAAATAAGAGTATCCATGCCTCGTCTCAAAGGAAGAGGGGTTCGTCTCTCTCCCCGCTCCATGGTTTAGGAGTTGTTTCAAAGCTACCTCCGCCTCCCCCCATTATAGGATACCACCTTCTTTTTTAAGGCGGAGACCCAATGATTCACAGAAACCTAAAAGAATTGATATTTTGGAACTAGAGCGCTGGGTTTCCTTTTATTTATTCTGAACCTCAGCCTCCGGGACAGCTCATGGATGTCGCTTAGGTCTGGAGGACATAAATCAGAACCGGGAGATGGGTGAGACTAGAAAAGGTGTGTGTGTGGGGGGGGGGGGAAGGATTCCGGAAATCGCAACTCCGTGGGACAGCCGTTTAATTAACCAATAATTGATAGTTGGCGCAGCTAAGCGATGCGGAGTGGAGCCCCAAAGGATTGCCAGAGGTTTGTGAGCAGAAATCTCTATTTTCCCTACAAAGGAGAAGTCAGACGGTGAAGCACGAAAAAGTAAGGGGAAGACTCAAGTCAAGCGCTCTACACTCGACCCCAAGATTTGGTTTGGTCTGCGAAGACTTCCCGCCTTCATCTCGGAAACTGCGCCTGATCTCCGCAATTCAGGAAAGGGAAGGGAAGGGAGAGGAGAGGAGAGGAGAGGAGAGGAGAGGAAGGAAGGAAAGAGAGAGAGAAAGAAAGAAAGAAAGAAAGAAAGAAAGAAAGAAAGAAAGAAAGAAAGAAAGAAAGAAAGAAAGAAAATTTCCTCATCCATCTTCTCCATCCCGAAAAAAATCCGGGAAGCGCAAAACGAAGCGCTTTTCAACTCCTTCCTGCTTGGGAGTAACCTTCGAAGTCGGAAGGGCCGAAGTCGAATTCAGCCCCCGGGCTGCAAAGAGAGGCTTGTCTCTTACCGAAGCGAATAGGGAAGAAAGGGATGGGCGTCAGGATTGGGGCTAGAGAGCGAAGAAAGCAGGTCGGGACCCGGGACCCTTCCGCGGCTAACCCGAAGAAGCACCTTCTCCGAGTCCCGCTCTAGACCAAGCACGCCAGTGGAAAGAGTTGCATTACTACTACCACCACCATTACTACTCCTGCTGTTACTAAGTGAATGTGCCCCCAGGCTTAATGACAAAAAGGAAGCAGGGCAGGAAAGTGCGCACTCGAGCCAGATTAAGCTTCCACGTGTAAAAAAAATCCAGCCCAGCGCTGGGTTTTTTTGCCCCCCATCCTGAACAATTCACCCAAGAAGGCGCTGCTCTTTTTAGGACCGAGCGCCAGAGTCCATCACCTGTGTGCTTATTCCCAAACGAATCTGCTATTTACTCAGGGAGCCCCCCCACACCTCCCCGCCATTTCTGGCGCACAGTTGCTTCCAAAGCAATCCTAAAACTTACTCCCAAACCGGAGACCCCCCGCTAATAGGAACCTTTACACACAAACGCGCCCCGAACAGAGGCAAACATTCCAGCGTGCCTTACCGTCCCTGTCCTAATATTCCTTTTTTACTACTCTTTTCATGTATTCACATTATGTTTATACTTTTACCCTTTATCTTATAGATGCTTGACAAACAAACAAACAAACAAACAAACAAATAAATAAATAAATAATAGATAATAGATAATAAATAGATAATAGATAATAGATAATGGATAATGGATAATGGATAATGGATAATAGATAATAGATAATAGATAATAATAATAAATAAATAAATAAATAATAAATTCACGTTACGCCAGGACTCCCATCGCTCCCAGCCAGCTTAGCCACTGTGGGCTAAGAAGACGTATGGGGTGCTGTTGAACCCCCCCTACCCCATCCCAAAGCGGTCAGAGAGCAGCCGTGAGTTGATGTTACCCGGCGGCCAAGCCCGGATAAGGAAAAGAACCTGCCGGGGTGGCGGTGCGTAAAAGCCTGCGACCTGCCTGTTCTTTGCAAGCGATGCCTGGAAGCGCACTGGAGCGCGCCCAACTAACCGGGGTCTCCAACCTTGGCAAGTTTAAGCCTGGGGGACTTCAACTCCCAGAATTCCCCAGCCAGCAAAGCTGGCTGGGGAATTCTGGGAGTTGAAGTCCCCCAGGCTTAAACTTGCCAAGGTTGGAGACCCCTCTAAACCTCCCCAGTAGCTCTTTTCACAGCTTCTAATTAAGTTGCCAACGTGGAGATCCCTGGTATAGTAGATCGGCGGGAAGGGTGATGGTGGTGGGGGAGAGATCGTGGATCAACCGCTGGCCGACCGGCCCGGGATGGGCAGGGGTGGGGGGCGTCCAGGCGAGAAGACTCCGGCCCGCGGTGCTGAGCCTCTTACCTCGCCCCCTGTCCACAAAGCTGGTGACGGTGTTGGCCGCTTTGGAGGACTGGAAGAAGCTGGCGTTGATGCCCAGTTTCTCGGCGATGGAATAGGTCCGGTAGAGGGAGAGCATGTACTCGTGGGGCTCCACTCGCGCCTGGCTTGCAGCGGCTCCCTTTTTAGCCGAGTCTCCGCGGCTTTCCCGGCAGCTCCGTTTGCCCTTGCCGGACTCCCGAGAGACGGCGCGGCGGCGGCGGGGATGGTGGCCTGCTGGCAACAGGGAAGGTCCCCCCAGAAGAAACCCGCGAGGAACACGGCGGAGAGCAGAGCCCGGGCCGCATTCATAGCGAGCGAGCGGCTGCCCCGGAGCAAAGCGCCCGCTCGCCCGCCCGCCCAGCTCGCTCGGCGCCCACGGCCAGCACCAGCGCGTAGAGCTCAACCCAGCCCCGGCGAAGCTCCCTCCGGCCGTCTGAGGCGCGGCGTCCCCAGCGCCAGAAGCCAGAGCCCGGAATGGGACACGCCCCCCCCCCGCTCCTCCCCGCGCCCCTTCCTTGGTTGCGGTCACGCCTCCTGCCCAGGAGGGAGAATAATGTAGTTTTTCAACAGTATTTAACAGTAAGAGAGCAAGAGCCTTGGTAGTACAGTGGTCTAAAGCACCCTGTTATTAAGACCAGCTGCCTGCAATTACTGCAGGTTCGAATCTCGCCAGGCTCAAGGTTGACTCAGCCTTCCATCCTTTCTAAGGCAGGTGAAATGAGGACCCAGTTTGTGGGGGCAATAAGCTGACTTTGTATAAATATACAAAAAAGGATGAAGGCTATTGCTTAACGCATTGTAAGCCGCCCTGAGTCTCCGGAGAAGGGCGGCATATAAATCAAATTAAAAAAAAAAAATTACTGCAGGTTCGAATCTCACCAGGCTCAAGGTTGACTCAGCCTTCCATCCTTTCTAAGGTAGGTAAATTGAGGACCCAGTTTGTGGGGCCAATAAGCTGACTTTGTATAAATATACAAAAAAGGATGAAGGCTATTGCTTAACGCATTGTAAGCCGCCCGAGTCTCCGGAGAAGGGCGGCATATAAATCAAATTAAAAAAAAAAAAATTACTGCAGGTTCGAATCTCGCCAGGCTCAAGGTTGACTCAGCCTTCCATCCTTTCTAAGGTAGGTAAATTGAGGACCCAGTTTGTGGGGCAATAAGCTGACTTTGTATAAATATACAAAAAAGGATGAAGGCTATTGCTTAGCGCAGGAGAAGGGTGGCATATAAATCAAATTAAAAAAAAGAGAGAGTTGGGAGGGACCTTGGAGGTCATCTAGTCCAGGGGTCTGCAACCTTAAATACTCAAAGAGCCATTTGGACTCGTTTCCCACAGAAAAGAAAGCACCGGGAGCCACAAAACCTGGGTGGGCGTGGCCAACTCGATGTCACTTACTTCCACCAGTCACATGACCACCCCCTAGGTACATCTACCCAGCCTGTCATTAGGGCAGAGGACCAGTTGTTAAAAAACACCGGGAACCACAAAATCCTTTTGACATATCTCTCTCTCTCCCTCCCTCTCTCTCTCTCTGTATCTCCCTGTCTCTGTCCTGGCCGCTTCTCCATCCCCCACCGTTGCCCTTACCTTCTCAGGCCAGGAGAGGAGTGATTGGTTGGGGAGGACGAGGGGTGGGACCAGCCAGTGGTGGGATCACCTGACAGGGAGCCACAGCAGAGGGCCCAACAAACAGCCGCACGCAGGAGACCTCTACTAGGGATTTGGACAAGCTCAGCGTCTTAGCCACTGAGCCACCTAGCCAGGGTGAGCCACCTGTTGGCGAGTTGGTATTAGGCAGAGCTGGATGCTGGGTCTCCAAACCCAACTGGGGGCTCCAGCAACAGTGCCAACCGGCAGGGTAGAGAAAATCCTCCCTACCAGTGGTGGCTTTCAAATTTTTTTACTACCAGTTCTGTGGGCGTGGCTTGGTGGGCGTGACTTGGTGGGCATGGCAGGGGAAGGATACTGTAAAATCTCCATTCCCACCCCACTCTAGGGGAAGGATACTGCAAAAGCCCCATTTCTTCCTTATCAGCTGGGACTTGAGAGGCAGAGAATAGATGGGGGCGGGGCCAGTCAGAGGTGGTATTTACCGGTTTCTCCGAACTACTCAAAATTTCCTCTACCGGTTCTCCAGAACTGGTCAGAACCTGCTGAAACCCACCTCTGCTCCTACCCTTTTCAAACTCTTGATCCACCCATTTTCTTGTGAAAGCCAGAATTACACCCTATTGCACAAGCCAGATGAGCACTGCCAATGCATTTGGTTGTAGGGACACAACAGACGGGTGAGTCAGCTCTGGGAATGGGCCTGAGTTTTCTTATTTTAAACTGAGAACAAGCCAGGAACCCCTTAGGCCTTCTAAAAAAAAAATCTGTTTAATTTGTTGTAGCCCTTTACAGGTTGTTGTTGACTTACAACCACAATTGAGCCCAAAATTTCCATTTCTAAGCAAGCCAGTTGTTAATTGAGCTTGGCCCCATTTTACAACCTTTCTGGTCACAGTTGTTAAGTGAATCACTGCAGTTGTTAGTAACATGGGTGTTAAGTGAATCTGGTTGCCCCATTGACTTGGCTTTTTAGAAAGTCTCAAAAGGTGATTGCATGATCCTGTTCTGCCCCAGCTCCGGATTCCCAAGGATTGTGACACACACCAAAGGTCCTTATCAAAGTTATAACCTACCAAGAATAAACAAAGTCCGGCAAAGGTTGGCAACCAGCCCAGAAAACAAGATACGATAAGACACTCACTCTTCAAAAATGCTCTGTAATAATTACACGTTGTTTCCAGCAAGAAATTACTAACTGCATGCGACTTAAATAGGCTAAGGGAGTGGCCAATTATCCTCAACCCTTACTCTCGAGGAGACCTCCTCCTCCTGAGTAACCACTCCTGCCTTTTGGCAGCCCTGCGTGCTCAAGCATTGAGGAGAGGCTCCTCCATTTCGCTCTCTCCACTTGAAGGAGCCCCTGGAGGTTCTGAAGGCCCTGGCTGAGTCTCTGCCTCTGGCACCACATCCTCTTCAGCCTCCTCGCTGTCCGACGTGAGCGCTGGCTGCGCAGGCTGCTGGCACGATCCCACACCAACCTTCTCGTCGTCGGGATCAGCCACGATCCGCGCAAGCCACTGGCAGGCCACAACAGATCCAGCACACTGCAACCGTCACAAATACTGTACATGCCAGTTGCCAAGCTTCTGAATTTTGATCCTCTGGCAGCATCCCCACAGTCACATGATCAAACTTCAGGAGCCTGGCAACCATCATGTATTCACAGTGATTGCAGTGTCCTGGGGTCTTGGGGTTGTTATTTGCAACCTTCCAAGGGAACTTCTAACCAGCAAAATTAATGGGAGTAGCCAGATTTGCTTAACGACCACATGTTTCACTTAACAACTGTAGTGAATCAATTAACACATGGCAAAAAAAAAAAAGGTTGCAACTTACTTATTTGCAATTGTTGCAACTAAGGCAAGGCAATTGCAAAATTGCAATTGCCTTGCTTAGTCCCAATTGTTGTTGAGAACTACTTCTACTTCAGATTTGATATCAATATTGAAATCAAACTGTATCTGATAGGATCATTTTTGTTCTCTAATGCTGAGCTGAAAGGAGAAGCTGGTTTTGGTTGGTAATCTTTTTTGACCCCACTTTTTGACAGAAGAACTTATTCCAGGGAAGTGCTGATAAAAATTGCTTTGCTTGCAAGTAGTGATGTCAGATTTGTGTTACTTGTTAGGAGCTGTGATGGCGCAGTGGTTAGAGTGCAGTACTATAGGCTACTTCTACTGACTGCCAGCTGACTGCAATTTGGCAGTTCAAATCTCACCAGCTCAAGGTTGACTCAGCCTTCCCTCCTTCCGAGGTCGGTAAAAACGAGGACCCAGATTTTTGGGGGCAATATGCTGACTCTGTAAACGGCTTAGAGAGGACTGTAAATGTCAGATATTGCCTGCATATGATGCACCAGAGACTAGAAGGGGTTAAGTCTTTACAGACATCACATGTGACTATATCAGCCAATGAACTCTCTTATTGGACTCTTACCTAGAAACCACTTGGATATCTTTCCCTTTTTTTCTCTCTCTCTCATCTATCTCTCAGCGAGACAACACGTGAACTTCTCTCTCCTCTCAACATCTGAGTCATACAGTTAGGGTAAAAAAAATGTAATAGGACACCCTGTTCAATATCGTATGCATGCATATATTTGTAAATAATAAAAACAACCTTTTGAACCTGAAGCTGTATTGACCAAATAACTTCCTCATAGAACCAAATGAGCATGACCATCAATATATATCTGATAGTAAAGCACTGTGAAGCAGTATATAAGTCTAAGTGCTATTGCTACTGCTACTGCTATTAATGATGTCAGTCACACACCAGTGATGTCAAATGATCACACAGCCCTGTAACATCCTGTTTTGATATGATCCCTGATTTATTGCACCTTTTGTTATTTCTAAAAAGAAACAATCCAGAATGTATCTGTGCACCTGAAATGAAAGCAAAGGAGAATCCTGGGAAGAATGTCAGTAAATGATAGTAAACAAGAAGGATATTTGCATAATTTAACTGGAGATGAAGAAATTATTCTGTTGCTCATCACCACCACTTTTTTTGACTTCAAAGTCAAAACAAATGAATATTACAGTCCTTTGATTGTAAGGAGAACATTGCAATCGGCTAAAATTGGTCTTTCCTATATAGACGGATCCTAGAACAGCCCCTTTTAACACTTGGCAGAACAAAAAAAAAAACCTTTTCCAATTGAAAGAAGTAGTACTGAGTTCTATCTTTAAAAAAAACTAAAGACTATACTATAACCAACATTTGTATATATCTGGAACAGTTTTATTTTGTATTACTTTTTAAAGAAAAGGTAGTCTGACCCTAAAAAGGTACAAACTACTTTTTGAAGGAGAAAGTTTACTTGGCTACACTTTCTGCACTGCATTGCATGGCTAAGGAGGGGGGGGAATATTAAAGCAGATTTATTGAATGAATGACACCGGAGGTGGGGGGAGTATGTTGAAATGAGGCCTTTTTATACCACCAATAGTTTTCTTCCTGGTAAATTGAGAAGGGGAGACATTAAGTCCACCTCTACTCCCCAGCCCCACATTATGCCTCCCTTTCACATGAACATGTATGTGTTATCAATGAGGAAGATTCCAAATATTTGTGTTCCGCATATTTCTTTCAGTTAACTCAGAAGATTGTTATGGAAAGCTGCAGAGATAGCAAACAATTACAACAATTTTCACCAGCAGGGTCCTTTCGTCATATGAGCTAATAACGTCCATGGACTCCACCTAGCAAATTAGAGTCAACTTCTTACC